ACTACAACATACGCCAGAGACAATGGCGCCTAAGAATTAGAATGCATGCTCTATGTGACAAACAAAAATCATTTGAAACATAATTATTTTGATAAATTTTTTGAAATGTTGGTTATTTGAGTTTTTTTAATTTTAATTATTTAAAAAAAATCAAAGGTTTACAAATCATTCATAGATTAAACTTTTAAATGTGGGAAACTTGTCAGTCATGTTTTAAATTATTATTGTTATAGTAGATATTTTCAATAATTTCAAGAATTAATACATGACCACTTGTAACTATAAGATTATTTAAGGATAAATTTATGACTACTTTAAATGACAAATCGATATTATAATCATTTTTTATTTTTAAAAAAAAACAAACTTATTTCGGAAATATTCAAGGCAAACTTTCAGAGTCTCCTTCTACATGGAATCTATGAAAAGGACCATGCCTCTCATGTTCGAGACCAAAGATTTGGAAAGTAGTTGGCTCAAGCTAAACTATCTGAAAACTAAGTTAGGTTGGTACAAACTAAGGCTTATTCCAGTTTTCTTGGTAGTAAGCCTCGACCACAAAGGTGAAGGACGCGGATACTCTAGAAGAATGTTAAGAATAACCTCTGCCTCTTCAGTAGCAGGATTGGAAAAGGGTGTGTGAAACCAAGTTGGACCACACCGCCGAGCAGCCAAGGGCGCCATTGATGGATCAAAAGTATTACATTTGTAAAAAATTTAAAGATATTTCTCAAAGGCTGCTTTGGATACTCCCTTGTCGTCTTCGGGAGTAAGTCAAGCTAGCCTTGTACCCTCGGCACTTGCCTCAGTACTAGGGGGAACTTGGATGTTAAAGGCATGAGCAAAAGTGGCATTAAACCACAATTGTAACAGCCAAATAGGGTCCCCAGTTTGGAAACTATCGACCCCTCGCCTAAGGTCTTTAGACGCGTGTCCCAACACCTCATAAAGACTTTCCAGAACTAGTTTGCTGAGGTAGAAATTCACCCCCTCATTAAGGCAGGTAGCCATGGATACGTACATCTTAGTGATTTGAATCTTGCAAGGGCAAAAGATGCACTGACACATCCAGTAGGTCAAAAAGGATATGTGTGTGCGAGCATCGACAACATCACTAGAGCCTTGGTGCTCTCCTATGAAGGTAGTGTAAGCATGGTTGGAGAATTTGAAATCACTTTCAGAAGAAGGTTCATAATACTCCCCATTGGGCCAAAGGCCAGCAATAGCAGCAAGATCGAAAAGGGTGTCAGTGACCATCCCACAAGGCAGTTGAAAGGTGTTAGTAGAAATATCACAATAGCACATTGTTGTGACTATAATAGCTGAATTGTATCTACAACCTACCCTAGAAAGTTGGATAAGGTCATAAGTCCCTTGTTCTTCCCACAGTGTCTTTTTTGCAACTCCACCCGATCCAGCCAGGTAATATAGGAGGAGTCAGCGGTTTCGAAGGGGGCAAAGAGTTGAAGGTTCGTCTTTGTAGAAACCCAAGGTCAAAAGAAGATCCTTTGAAGACCAAAGAGCCCTAGTTTTCCTCGGGACAACTAGGAAAGAAGTTGTCAAAACACTCTGGTAGTTTGGAGGCTTCGGGGATAGAACCCATGAAAGAGAATGTGGTACCTACTACTGAAAAAGGGACTAACAGATTCGCGAACCAGGGACATCTTCGAGCATCCTCCATAGATGGTTCCCAAAAGTATGTTTGATCATTGGCTAGAATCAACTCGTCAAGAACAACAACAAACAGAGGTTAGTCATGAATGAGACGTTTTGGGGCCATTTGTAAGGTCGGGTGAGATGACAAACTTGTAATGGAGGAATAATGGGTGGCGATATTATGGTTCCGATTTCATAAGCTTCAGAGACAGGAATGAGGAAAGAAAGTCGTTATTTGAAGGAAAAAGGGCTTAAATAGACAAAGAAAAGATGGCGAAAATTTTTTCCCAAGAACGTGGACAGATGGCATGCTCAGAGCCAATAATCAGCCTCGAGGAGAGGATATCCATTATTAATAAAATCAAAAATAAAATCTTGAATCCTGGGTCAGTGGCTAGTTAATAATGACCTTGGAATTTGAGGTAATGATGTACTGACATTGCACGTTTTAAAGACGTAACATTTGGTAAGAAAGTTAGTCATAATGGATGAAAATGATTGAGGTGATGTGGCACAGAATATGAACAGTGTCAAAAGTAGTTACAAACAATGTCACTTTTCTCCCCTCTGATATGGGTCGACAATGATATTTTTTGAGAGGTATGTGTTACACTTGAATTTTCAACTACTAGAGAGTCAACAAAGAATGTCACTGAAAAGACGTTTACTATGAACATTAATGAAGTATCTTTAAAGAAGCATTAATGACAAGGCATCGACAGACCAACGACGAGGGGTCGATCGATTCGTCAATGCAGAGAGACATGGTTTGGAGGACTCTCAAGGATGAATCCCCATGACCCATCTCGCTGGAAAAATTTCAAAATCTCGAAAGGGAAAGACGACATAAACATGTCCAGAATCTCGAGAAGGACATTCGACATAAGCCCTCATGCTCAAAAAGGATCAATCGATCAAACGACTTGGTATAAAGAACTTAAGTAAATTTACAAGTCTTGAGGGTCTTGGTAGGTATCGTCGGCAACATATTTGGAGCATTTATTATCGAGAGATCATGAATAAATGGAAGAAGTGCAAAAAAAGTTACCACTCAACGTAGGTTGTAACCAGATGGCGTCTTGAAGACACGTAATCGCACTAGTGGAAGCCTAAAGGATTGAACGTGGAGCAAATGCAACTCTTCCTCTAGTGGTTGTAATCGTCGTTAACGATTATTTTGTTAATAGAATAAATATTAGACTCATACATGGGATCAAGGGTCGCAAAATTTCATACATACTCTTCATACCATTGGAGTCCCGAGTCAAAGAGCGAAACAGCTGAGCGAGAAACATCTATGCGTCTGCGTCCACACTTTTTTCTTAATCTTTTTTGCTTCATTAGACGGAACATTGTACTTTTTATTTTACTTTGTTTAATGTTATTTACTGCATTTTACCTTATCATTTCTCACAACTTGACTTCATTTAAAGTATTTTGCTACGCTATGTGTGTTGACACAAAGTATTTGGACAGATTGCTTTGGAAATTTTTTGAGTTAATTTCATAGATTTTCAAACTCGTGATTGTTTATCAAAAATACCAGTAAAAAGTAGTACATGTCGTCAGCCCGATATAATCGTACAAATTGTCTCAATGTTAGAGCAAACTCCACAACATAATTATTGTACCCATTTTTAGTTCTGCTTTTGATATGTAATTTATTTTATGTAACCTTTTAATTTCATATTGAAAACAATGCTCTTTTCATAATGATTACAACTTTCGATTACAACAATTAAAACAACATGAAAAATAAATAAAAAGATTAAACACAATAATATATCTAAAAGATTATAACCATTAGGACAATATCATCTAAATTACGATAATCATTGTCAGTTTTAACTAACTTTCAGACACTATGTTCTCCGTCATTGTTGAACATCGTAATAAGTCTTTCAATTCTTCTGATCTTTTTACTGTCTCCAACGCCTCCATCTAACCAACAGATCAAACTCCTCTCGAGATACTTGAAAGTCTCAGTGTTCCAAAGTCGGATCTTCATCAGGGGCTTTACTGCCAAATAAATCAAATTAACATTTCTTTTGATGATATTGATATAAGACATTTTGAAGAAAAATTTAAAGAGAGAATTAAAAGATGAGTGGCAAATGGGTGGGAGGAAATGACCTATTTATAAAATAAAAATAAAAATAATACAACATAGGAGACAAGAGGGATGGCGCATACTCCTAATGCATACATGCATGTGTAATTGTTATTGGCATGACACTATAGCATGCGTCAGAGGCAATGGCGCCTAAGATCAAATTAGAGTGCATGCGCCACAGAGAGTGGCGCATCTTCTATATGATAAGTTTTTTTTGTTTGAAACATGATTATTTTGATAAATTTTTTAAAAAGTTGAATATTTGAATTTTTTTTAATTGATTATTTAAAAGAAAAAATTAAAGTTTTACACATCATTCATAGATTAAATTTTCAAACGTGGAAAACTTGCCTAGTCAATTTTTAAATTATTATTGTTATAGGAGATATTTTCAATAATTCCACAGTATTAATACATGACCACTTGTAACTACAACCTTATTTAAGGATAAATTTATGACTACTTTAAATGACCAATCCATATTATAATCATTTTATAAATAAAAAAGCTTAAAATATCTTTTCACCGTAATCCAAGAGCCGAATTGCTTTTAAAGATTTAAATACATACGTTCAATTTAAGTCCCTTACAAATACTTTCATAAAATAATCTAACAAATGTGCAAACACCATTAAACTTGTCCTACAATAGTTATGACTTATTTCTTGTCCTAGCAATAAAAGTTGCTCAAACTCAACCCATGAAGCATGGTGAGTTAACTTGCAAAACTTCTTAACCTCACAAGTATTAAAGTGTGTTTAGAAGAGTGTAAGAAAATGTCTTGCTAACATAATTTAGAGTGTATTTGATTCTGGTAAAAAAAATTGATTATAAATTAATTAATTTTATAAATTGATTCTAATTAAAAGTGAATCTAAAATAAAATAAAATGATTTATGTTTAGAGAAATTTCTGTAAGAAAATTACGTTTATACTAAAAAAACTACAAAATCTTAACTTCAGGTATAATCAATTTAGAAATCATAATCAATTCTACTCGAAAGTAACCAAACATGTCAAAATCAATTATGCACCTCCGAAATAAATTTTAAATGCTCCAATCTTCACCTGGAAAATTTTACCATTGATTTACTTGAGTCTTGTATTGTACTCAACATTACTCATCAAACAGAACAATAAAACTATTAATACAAACACATATATAGATAAAGTCATTCAGCTCTTCTCAGGGTATACATTGCTAGTAGAAAATACTCCAAAGAAAGCTTATTTAATTTTCAACTACTTTGGTATTCTCCTCCTCATGTAACACAGGCTGCTCTTCCTTCACAACTTCTTCAATCTTAGTTTCTTGAGATTGAGCTTCTTTTACATCTCCTGAGGCATCCTGAAGCTGCAATGCATTTTAATGTTACATCACATATCAATTAAAGTATTGTGGGGAAGCATTTACAAAATTAACTCAATTTTTTATACTTTACCCCCAAGTTTCTTAAGCTAGCAGTAACATCTTCTTGTTGCTGCTGAAGAGTTGTCCTTAGATCTTGAAATTCCTAGTTTCGTTGTTATAAACAAAACAAATTTCACAAAATTTGATTTGAAAGAGAGCAAACCCTTAAGGTAAAATTGAAAAGCACACTTACTGTTCTAAGTTGCTCCACTTCAACATTAAGTGTTTGCTTAAGAACTGTCAATTCCTGTGTGGAAAAAATTAAGATCGTCAAGAGTGGCAAAACTACAATTTATCACTGGCACAAACATATAAAACGGATAAAGGTAAAGTTAAATTAGTGCAAGTCAAAAAATAACTATGTAATGTCCATATTGTTCTCGGCTTATTTTTATAAGCTCCTCGGTATAGGTTATAGACGCAATATATTCAAAGTTTACCCACATTCTCTTTTTGATTGTTAAAACAATTTGTACACAAGTGTTTGACGAATACAAGTGTTTAACTATACTATTTAACCAAATGCTCCCTAAAAGAAAAATGTTTCTGTATCAGTGACCAAATAGCAAATGTATGCATATCGACTAAAAATATATCTCAATCCTTGACGAAGCTATTTCGCAAACATGGGTAACAACAAATTAGAGAAGAACAATATAATTAATATAACACTGATAACTTTCCTTGGTTCAAGAATCTGGATTGTAGACAACCAAAAAAGAGATTTCCAGAAGACTAGAAAAGAACCACTCTTTGTATGAATATATCCGAAGTCCTTATTTTAAGTTGTATAAAATTGAATTGGATAGGATAAACTACTCTATCTGGCCATTAAATTTCAGCTGCAAACATTTTAAGTGTATTTGTCACCTATATCTTGTGTATTGCTATCCAACTTATAGATTTAAGGCTGAACATGACAAGCAAAACCCCATTCTCACTTTGCTCTCATCCAACCACTGCTACATCATCACTTAGCAGTTGTTTACCATGTCAATATTATTTCTGCTACCAGTTTATGATCAACCACCCACACATCTCTAGGAGCTGTTACCAGTTTTTTAAAGCATTGATTCAATACAGAACACACTTGATTTTATCCTTCCTGTTTGAAAAAAAAGGCATACCCAAGAGATTTCTCCAGATCTAATCAAATGCAGTCTTACTAATTATGAACACAACAATGGCAGTGAATGCTTATAGACAACATCCCAGCAACTTCCTATTTTAATAAAACTAGTAGGACGCTTGTGTGGACGTATGGGGGTTGCGCTTGCTGCTGCTTCTTTTTTTTGTGATAAGTCGAAACTGTTTAAACATTATAAGAAGCATAGAAGAAATTCCTTTGGAGTTAATTCTCCTGGCAAAGAAGCATAGAAGATGTGAAGTGGTGGTTGTGGTTAAGTAAATGAACCAAATTATACAGCTTGAGAAGCCAATTCCCAAATCAGCAGTGTTACGGATAGACAAAGGGCCTGATTGGATTATTTGAGCTTGCTTACCACCATAATTTTGTGATATTGTTTGGAAGACCTTACAAAAAAACAGTGTATAACATTGTTCATACATTGTTTTCAGCTTATTATCATAAGTTCTTCAAGATAGTTCATGAAAACAACTTTAGTTTATAAGAGAACAATTTAACTTTATTATATCTTTTGCTAGAAAAATAGCTTATAAACCCTAAACCCACAAAGTCCTTCATTGTTGTTTTATAGAATATAAAAATACGTTTGGATCGATGGTATATGATGAAATAAAGGGTAACAAAACTGAATGAGAAACCATCCATTTTCAAAACTAACTAGCCTATTCATTTCATTTCATTCCATTCCACTCTATTCCGCCAATCTAAATGTACCCTAAATTCCCCAAGACTATCCCCATTCCCCAAATATATTCCCATTCCCCTCGGCCCTTCTAACTTCTAAGCTCCAATCTAATACATTTACCTCAAAACATTCAAATAAAAGAAGTGCTCAATCACAACATTACCACTTCAAAAACACCCATAGGAAAATAATCTTCGTGTTCACATAAAAGTCAAAAACAAAATGCAGTATTTTAGCTAATTGAGATTAACAACCACGACTTACATCCCGATAAACCTTCACTTGTGTGTCTAACTTAGATCTCCAACCTTGCAAATCCTAGCAAATGATTCAAAATCAACCATAGTTAAACATCAGAAACACGCCCATATAGAATCAACCAACACTAAAAAACAAATCACCTGTTTTAAACTCTGAATTCTACCTAGAAGCTCCGATCTTGATTCGTTAAGTTCCTGAGTCGACAATAATTAAATATAAATAAAACAGAATATAACAATAAGCACGGTGTTAAAAGTTTCATAACATTTTAATGATCAACTAATTAATTAAAGCACAGTATTATGATGAAATCCAGTAAAAAGTACCGCGATTTTTGAGGAAATGGGAGCGTTGTTCTCTTTCTGAAAAAGCAAAAGAAAAAAGGGAGGGTTAATATAGAAAATGAAGAAGAAAATAGAGTGAAAAAGAGATGAAGAGGACGGACAGTAGAGAGAGGGGCGGTGGAATCTGGTGAAGACATTGAAGATTTGGGGTTTTAGGGCTAGGGTTTGGTGGTGGAGATGGTGGATTTGAAATTGGAGCGTGATGAGAATATATGATAGGTAATGGCGGTTGGTCGGTGGAAGAAGAGTGAGTGACCAACAGACTCAAATTTGAAAACTCGTGATAGCAAACGAGATTTAGGAGTAGGCGGGATATCGCAATCAGTCTTTCTCTTTCTCTAGTAACCATTTTTTTCTATTTTCCTTCCATTTTTTTATTTCCAATTTCCAATTGTACCGTTTTTATTTATTTATTAAAAAAAGTCTTATTCATTAGTATTTTTATAAATCAAATTGAAAATTGAATTCGTCGGTTGAGTATTTTCCTTTTACGAATTTTATGTTTAGGGTTGTGGAACAATAAAAGGTGATAATTTAATCACGTATAAATATTGTCTTATTATATATTCTCATTCTATGTATATTTTTTCTAAACACGGTTTTTTTTCATGATGCAAACAATTCTTCTGTTATCATAATGAAAAGATAAAGTGACAAGGGATTTCCTTGTCTCAATCCTCTTCTAGGTTGAATTTCCAACTTTGTCTGAATTGACTAGAACTGAGTAGTGCATTGAGGTCGCACACATCATCACCCAATAGATCCATCTATCCGTAAAATCTAATCTACTCGGCATACCTCACAAAAATCTTCAATCCACCTTATCATATGCTTTACTAATATCAATCTTAAGAGTCAATTCTACTAGTTTAATTTTGTGTTTCAAGGTATGAATTATATCTATGGCAATGAGGGCATTGTCAAATATAGATATTTCCTCCACAAACACTGATTATTCTTCCGCCACACATTTGGTTAAACAACACTTAAACTAGTTCACAAGCAATTTGGAAACTATCTTGTACATTATATTACACAGGGAGATCGGACTGAGCTCCTTCATATTACTCGGATATTGCAAAGTTCTGCTTGGTCTTTAACAACTTGATTGTCTTCATTTAACAACATGTTAATACTCTTGAACCTGCTTCTTATCGTTGCCAACAAATGAAATATTTTTGTATTCAAGTCACCCTCCCTAAGCCAATGCATCTTTGCACGTTGTCTCCAAAAGGTTTCCTCATGTATGAGAGTCTTGGAATGTCTTCTCTGTGCTTCTATGAACCTCTTTGTGTCCCCTTATTCGTTGTGATTTTGGTATCTCTCCATGTCTTCCATACTTTCTGGCACCAACTCTATAAACTAAGACTATTTCCTCCCACTCCACCTTCTAAGTTCCTCTACACAATCGCAATACGGTCTATGATTTCTGTGTCTCTGTTTGGATTCCACTCTACAGTAACAACCTTTGTAATATCATCTTCATTCAGCCGCAGTTTTTGAACTTAAAGAAGTATATGTAGTTGTTGTGGTGTCCTGGATCGCACTGAAGAAGGATTGGATTGTGATCCAAGTGAGATGACATTAAATTTAGCAGTTTGATGTGAAAAATATTCATTTATCCTGTGTTAGACATGGCTCTGTCCAATCTTTCCTCAATAACACGAGGAGTTCATCTACTTCTTATCCAGGTAAAAGGATACCCTTCAAGATTAATGTCTGACAAATAGCAATCACTGACTGCATTTTTGAATACCTTACACAACCAGTTAGGATGAGGGTGAATACCCTTCTTATATTCTTGAGTTAGGAGATCATTAAAGTCCCCTATGATGCACCAAGGTAAGTTGGACATATCACGGAGATCCCACAGTAAGTTCCATACGAGTCTTCTTCAGCCCGTTTCCAGATAACAGTAATAGCAAGTTAACATACATTTTCCCCGCTCAACATCCTCAATTCATAAGTTCCCAAAATTACGCGAGAAATTTATCACAGTACACATTATAGTATTCCTCTATAACAATGTTAATCCACCACTACTACCCTTCACATCAACTGCAAGGCACAAATCATATGTCAGTGTCACTCTAATTTGTTCCATCTTCCTCTGTTAATATATAGTCTCTAAAAGGAATATAATGTCAGGTTGATGCTTCTGAGCTAACACATGAAGATTGGGAATTTCACTCGGGTTGCTCAGTCCCCGATAATTCCAGCCCAGTCCCCGATAATTCCAGCTTAAGATTATCATAACTCTCGACAGTCTTAGCTACCATGACATGCCGATAAAAAATACGGTGTTGAATGGTTCACCTTCGTATCCCAATCTCGATAAAAAACACGTGTCTAGATCGCATTCTAACGGTAAAAGTTGGCTTGCTTACTCGCGGAGGAGGTTTAAGCGCAAGTTTGTACGCGTTAGAAAGGATTAGACATATGTCTTTTTTCTATAAAAGATTTGAATTTTGATTAAAGTATTTTAAGAGTTTCGATCGCACGGGGAAAGGAAATAAGGCTCGATTGGTTAGGTATTTTAAAGGAGAATGACAATTATTTGATAAGAACGAGACGTGGGCCTTGGGACAATTAATCAGGGTATTACCATAATTCTAGATTCCAATAATACCTTTTTCATTCGATTAGTTATGAGATTGTTCAAGGTGCCATATGGAATGATAGACTTCAATGGTCCCTCTTTTGTCCAAGTAATTAGAGCAAGTGTTTTTAGAAACGAATGACTGAATGAAAAATAACCCAAGGTGTGTGCCTCAAGAGCAATTGTTCAAAAATTCAAAGGATGTGAGACTCCTAGAACTTATTTCTTTCGTAATTTAATTAAGAAAAAAGGTTTATAATAGGTTAAGTGTTTTGATTTGATTTGAAGAAAATAATCGATGTTGATCGTGGTTTGAATTCGCGTATGAAATGGTTGGAGGAAGGAGAACCTAATGGTGTAGATGAAGGTCGGTGGCGAGGCAAAAGTTACTCGACTTACAAGTTTTGGGGTAGGGCTTGATATATGGATCAAGTATGCGGAGGTTCCACTTGGTGTTGGACCAAGGGTTTGCGAAAGAGGTGAGGTCGATCCTAGTCCTTAAGGATACTATTAGTAAACAAAACCACAACCCAAGAAAGGTGCAAGTGTGTGTATGAGGTTGATGGCGATGCTAAAAAGCAATCGACTTACAAGAGTGTTAAAATGAGCTCGATATTGAATTAAGAATTATTACATCATTTTTTAAAGAAGTTTGATATGATTGAGTATTTTGAAGTTTATTAAGAAAAATGCTACTTGACGTTAGATAAGAGTTTTATTCAAAAAATGTCACTTGATGTTGCATCAAGGGTTTTATCATTTTTGAACGATTAATTTTAATTGTTATTTTGTCTTTTTAAATTAACAATCATGCATTAACTAAAAAATTAAACAATAATAATAATAATAATAATAATAATAATAATAATAATAATAATAATAATAATAAAAGGGAGGGGTGAATTATTAATACATAAGTAAAAAAAAATGACATGAGAGAAATGATAAGACGAGGATGATGCATTATCAACACAAGGTGTGAAGTAAAACAAAATAAAGAATAAAAAGAACGTAATAAAAGAAGTACTACTTAATTAATTATATGAATTAAAAAAAAGTTAAATAAAAATATTTTTATGTTTTTAAATATGTGATCAATTGAAAATTAATAGGCACATTAAAAAAATAAAATCGAAATCAAAAATAAAACAACTAAACAAAATAAGTAAAACAAGAAAAGAAACAAAAATAAGAAGCAGTGGGGTGATAAGCCAAACAATGTGTAAAAAAGTAAAACAGAAGAAAAATAAATGCTCAAAGGGCGCTTGGACCCAGCTGGGAGCCAAAAAAAAAGTGGACACGTGTCAGACTACAATTGAATCTGGAAATTGCTTATGAACATCAATAATTGTTCATCTTCTTTTGGTAATAACTTGCTCAATTTTTCATGGAATCAGGCAAATGAATAATGAAAATTCATTTATTCAATATCACGAACAACATGGAATGCTCAAAATAAAAGAAAAAGAAACTAAAAAAACGAAAATTAAAAACTCATTTCATCACTTTTTTTGTGGAGGTTCAAAAACACTTTTCAACTCTTGATTTAAAATCAATTGAGTTTCCATGCAAAATGATGATGATTAAGGTACTAATTAAGTAAAGAAAAAAATGAAAAATCAATCTAATTAAATAAAGAATATGCATAAGAGCCATTAAACAACAACATATCACTTTTGCTTATGGATGTTCAAGAACCCTTTTTAACTCTTGATTTAAAATCAATTGAGTTTTCATGCAAAATGGTGATGGATAAAGCAATAGTAAAGATGCTATATAATTAAACAAATAACAAGCATAAAAGTCTACCTATTCAATAAAAATAAAGAAATGACTTGAGAGAAAATGAAGAGAAAAATGGAGAGTTTTTTATGTTGATTTTATGTTAACTTTTTTTACTATATATCAACACAGTGAAACTTGCTTTTACCAAAAGGGTAACAGTAAGATCAAAACACAAAGTTTTCTATCACCAAAAGAATGATAGTTAAATCAACATCTTCAATGATTACCATCACCAAAAGGATGAAGGTTAAATTACAATGACATAGATCGACATCACCAAAAGGATGATGGTTAGATCACAATGACTCTTGCTAGCACCAAAAGGATGACAGTAAGGCCACAAATTGCAAGAATCACCATTGTCAAAAGAACAATGGTGAGATTACAACTACAAAGATATCAGACACCAAAAGGATGAAGAACTAATCACCAAAAGGATGATAGTGAACACATATAACTCGCTATCACCAAAGGATGATAGTAAGGCCACAAATTGCAAGGATTGTCATTGACAAAAGGAAAATGGTGAGATTACAACTGCAAAGATCTCCGACACCAAAAGGATGAAGGATCTACCACCAAAAGAATAATAGTGAACACACACAACTTGCCATCACCAAAGGATAATATTAAGTACACACAAAGATCTCTGACACCAAAATGATGATGAATCTATCACCAAAAGGATGATAGCAAACACACACAACTCGCTATCACTAAAAGGATGATATTAGTACACACAAAGATCTCCGA